GGACTCAATACACAGAGATCTCTGGTTGGTTGGTTTTGCCTTCATAAAGTAACTTAAAATGGAAATAATCATTGGGAAATAAATTGTGTAGCTCTAAAGCACCATGTTTATTCAAGGAAGCAGAATAACAATGCATTAGAGAACTCTTATTGTTTTTCGACTGTATGCCATAAAACAATACAATTGTTTTCTTTTAAATTAAGTGTTGGAATTTAAGGTTCCCATTGCTGTAATTATGAGCTATGGGTCACAGCTTAGAGGAAAAAAAACAAAGACAATTGTGGTTCCAGCCTGGCAGTTATAAGGCTGGCTCCGTAACAAGTTTGTGCATTTGAGTCCCAGGGCTGCTTCACGCAATCAATTAAAAATGTGTGTCCTTGGTTCTTGGATTGTGTGCCAGATGTACCTGTTGCCAATACACACTGTCAACTGTGGTTACATACCTATCCGGCTTCTCTTACAGCAGCATATAATAATGATAATAATATAGAATAATCCTTGCATTTGATATAATAATAATAATAATCTTTGCATTTGATACAGTGCCTTATAACATCTTCAAGACGTCTCAAAGCACTTCACGGGATACACTATCAAGTGAATTGGCTGTGTATAGCGCCTTATCATGTCTTGGAGACGTCTCAAAGTGTTTCACAGAATATATTGTAAAGTGAATGGACTGTATATTCTGCGGTCGAAACGTGGCAGCCAATTGCACACAGCAGCGCCCCGCAAATAGGCGTGGATTGAGTGGCCAAATTAATATTTATTTGTTTGTTTATTTCTTAAGGCATTATCACCCCCGGAAAAGCGATCCGCCAATCGACTAGTAATATATTGTTGGATGTAGGGAAAATGGCCCCTGGAACGTTCCTTGTTCCCAATTGAATTAAGCTACTTGAAAACTGACATTTCAATGTGTTCAGGCTCTATAAAATTTATCACCAGAGGAACTCGTTAACCGCACTAGGAGGATATCACAAAGCGGAGTGTTTGTGTATTTTTGTAGGCAAATGTGGCTCCCTATTTGCACGCAGCAATCTCCCACCAACAGCCACAGAGCGGGTGACGAATTTTATTGCTGCAGGCACCGCATCTAGAAATTACGGTAACTTCGCCACTTCTGGTTAGTGCTGCCTGAAAGGTGGGATTTGGTCAGATCTGTTCAAATGAATTGTAAAGTGAAATGAGAAAGTCAATTTTGCAAGTGGTGCACTGGCTTAGTGCTTCAAGCTGAAGTTTTAATGGACGCTATTGAGTGAATTTGTGAGAGTTAAGTGTTTATAGTGCATTATAAATATTTTCTGAATAAATAGACGATACATGATAGGTAGCAATGGGATGCAGAGTTTATACCACAAAGACCAGCAAAGAGCAAAAACCCTATTAGTCTGATAGTTATGAAGTTCAGACCCATTACATCCACCTTAATGGATATACTAAATACTACCCTACCTTATATACTCAAAGTTCCCAGCTAACATGCTGCAACTATGAATACTTAAGTCAACCCCAGACAATGTAACATTTGTATTGCGTTTAATTTTTAAGGGCATTTGCTTTCTGAATCTCTCCACGTTTTGCTTCATGATAGTTCATTCAACTAAGATTGAGGCCAAGACAAGCATCTAGTATTTCTGTCAACTCCAGTTCATCATAAAGCTTGTAATGGGAATGCATGAGCCATTGCAGATGGAAAGCTTTGCCGATATGTCTGGCAGGTAACAGGTGGGTTCGGGTGAAGGGTCTTAGTTAGTGGTTGAAGTAGTCTTTTAAGGACCTGGCTGAAATGGGAGTCGAGACTAAAATAGCCCAACGAGAGAAGCTCTCCGAATTCATTGATGGAGACGGGTTAATGGCAGGATTTGGGAAGAAAGAGCCTCAGGCAATGGGGCAATGCTGGTACTCCATGATGTTTGGAAGCTGGTGCCATCTGAACCTCACTTGGATCCCAACATCTCGCAAAAAACGAAGGATCTGTTGGTCAAATTTGAAAACTTCTGCCCATAACAATTTCATAAGTTTCAATCTTATAGATACCTGACTCCGTGCCTCAGTTGGCAGCTCTCACCTCTGGGTCAGAAGGTTGTGGGCACAAGCCCATGTTGGTAGTCGAGCTCATAGTCTAGATAGACACTCGAGCAAAGAACCGGAGACTGCTGGGTTGATAGATTGCAGCTGAAGAACTTATGTTTTGTGTGGATTGGACGCGGTTGAACGAAAGTAGTTTGGTCTGGACAGTTGAAGTTACAAAGAGTTAACTTTGAAGTGATTGAGTGTTGTGTACAACTGAATTTTAAATACTGTTTTTTTATTTAAAAAGGGGGCACGGGGGCAAACTCTTAAGTATTAAAGCAGCAAAGTAGAAGCATAATAATATTGGAAGAGCAAATGTTTGCTTATGCAAGCAGTTAAAGCCGCATTTAACATTCAGATTCATCCATTTTATTTCGAGGGAGAGCGTATTTTGAGCAAAGCAACTGATCTGCCGGTTCGAATCCTGAATTCTTTCTCCAGACAAGATCCAAATATTTGTCATGCTGCCAACTTCAATCCCTGCAAAAAGAGTGTTTTTTGCACATTTTAAATCAACAGTGGAACATATAGCGCGTTGCTCAGTCTCGTGTCCAGATTACACACAAACACCACACATAATGGTCCCTAAAATAGATCAAGTATTATTAAATGAAATAATAATTTGGTCACTCAATCCGCAACTGTTTGTGGGACGCTGCTGTGCGCAATTGGCTGCCGCGTTTCACCCCCAAATAGACAGTCAATTCACTTTACAGTATATTCTGTGAAGCGCTTTGAGACGTCTCGAAGATGTGAAAAAGCGCTATATCAAATGCAAGGATTATTATTATAATAAGTGAATAATTACATATATGGCTTCAGTGTTCTTGTAAACAGAAATGTCTGCGAATACAACGCAGGTAGGTTTAATAGAGTGCTTTCATTGAGAATACCGTACAAAAACGAGCAGTTTTTTTAGCAAAGGGATATTTACTTATCATTGGCAAAATACATCAGGATTTATATCTTTCTCTCTCTCACTCTCTTGCTCTCTCTCTGTTGCTTTCTAATTCTCCTGGGCAACGTCAACTTGTAGAATTGTCACTAACCCTGTTGTCATGGGCTTTCTTTTTGAGAAGCTTTAACTTGTCAAGATTTAGTTGTTATAGTTGCTTTGTAATACAGTAAAACTCCTGCATAAATATGAATCGAATAACCGCCCAAGTCCTGTTAAATTTCCTCTTATATATGTTTCACATAAATTGCATAAGTCATATTAAATATACAGTCAATTCACTTTACAGTATATTCTGTGACGCCCTTTTAGAGGTCTCGAAGACGTGATGAGGTGCTATATCAAATGCAAAGATTATTATTATTAAATATTTGGTCCAAACTGATACGACTTATATGAGGTTTACTGTTTCCCTACTTGCATATGCTGCGGAATTTGCAGTCCTGCGATACTGTGGTATCCAGTAATGCTTTGCCGATTGTTACTCTTGAAAACTTGCAACCGCTGTGTACCAATCATTGATCCTTCACTACAGAGGTTTAACACGCACAAGTGTCAGAGAACTCAGCGGCTGTTGGTCGTCCACTAGCAACAAGATCCTGAAAACTGAAGGGAGAAGAAAAAAACAGAAGAGTGTAAATTACAAAATAAACCTAAAACCTGGTAGTGATTTCAAGGCTGTAATATCATCCCACGGTTTAGATGACTGTTCTAAACTGCTGTCACAGCTGTTGTGGTTTTTTGATGACATCCAAAACCTTTGATGCGATCCCTATCTTTTAATCACTCCCAGGTACCGACCGGTTTAGTCTCTGCTGAACGTCCAAGGGACATCCCGGTTTATTTTAGTAATCCCCCATTCATCTCAATTCTGCACTTCCACAAACATACCGGCTTCCAGATGAGGTCGGGATAAAAGCAAAGTGCAATGTGACTTAATATTGTAACTCTGCCGCCACCCTTTAGTACTCCGTTCCACAGTTCCTTCGCCCCTTCCCTTTCCTCCTTCAAGACCCGTCTCAAGACCCTCCTCTTCGACCGTGCCTTCGGTCACCCTCCTACCCCTCGGTGCCCTCTACACCTCCTGATCTCAACCCCCAGCTCCGTTCCAAATCCTTGACGATCCTGCAGGACGGGACATCCTCCCGACGTGAAAGGCGTTATACAAATGTCATTTGTTGTTGTTGTAATGAATAATACTGGGCCAGTAATACTTGGCCCAGTAGTTAAGCCACACAAGTGTTTCTCTTCAGTAGGAGACTGGGTCTCAATAGCCATTCAGGTTAACATAGCTCAACAGGCTCTATTTCCCTGGCTAACCCATTTTATACGGCAGATAAAACTTGTGTCTTGTTACTTGTTCACCCTTCAGCTCAATGGTTGCGACGAGGGCTAATTTAAAAAAGATTAGTAGCAGATATGGAACAAATGAGTTTAAATATCAAGATGAATATTTAATGATCAAACTTGAAGCCTTGTTTTTTGTATACTAAAAAATCTTGCACTATGGAAAAAGAAACACGAAAATGTCCCAGTCTCAATTTGAATAGCAATGAGCACTGTATAATAATGCAAATGACATTTTTACTAAATTATTTCAAATAAATAAGAACAAAGTTACTCCTTAACTCTTAAAGTTCCCATTTCTGTAGCGTTCTCCAGATATCATTTACTACGTGTGTGTTTTTATAAAAAAAAGCCTCTTGTGGGGAAAAAATCTTGTAGAGCAAGTTAATTTTGTTCTATATTTATATTTGTTCCACAAACTACACAGTCAATTCACTCTACAGTATATTCTGTGAAACGCTTTGAGACGTCTCAAAAACCTGATAAGGCGCTGTATCAAATGCTTCAAAGGATTATTATATTTAATTTCTGTCAGTAAGATGATTCTGAATGTCTGCAGAGTTAAACTATGTTAACAATGTGATGGATTTCATTGCTCTGTTTATTTCCCTTATTTTTGAAGGATTAACTGACGAAGAAATCGACCTAGCACTACAGCAGGCAGAGACTGCGACAGATGAAACACTATTGCCCATAGTACAACAGCATCAAATAGAACCTTCAGATTATGCCACTGTGCCATACGGTAAGGACCTCAGACATTAAAACATGGGGAACAATGGAACATGCAGCTTGTTCTACAGGTGGCAAATTGTCAGCGAGTTTTGTCAGCCCGTCTATCTGCGCGGTATCTATCCGATACCTCAGAGTTTTCAGCCCGGCTCTGTTGGTAGCAGTCTCGCCTCGTGACGATTTTCCTCACGTTGGTACTTTGAACTCACAGCCTAGGCTGAGACTCCAGTGTAGCCCTGGGGACGTGCTGCATTGTCGGAGGTGCCGTTCTTTGGGATGATGCCTTCAAGCGAAGTCCCGACTGCCTGTTTTATTCTGATGTGCATCAAACTTACGTTGACCGGTTCATATATATCCGTTTTGTCACCTTGATCCTTTTTGAATCGTTCACCACCTCCCTGCTTGCTGCTGCGACTGAGTCACAGATCTCTCGAAGAAGGTCCCAACACAGCCCAAGATAGACAACCTGTAGGCACAAAGACCCACTTGACAACAACAACATACAGCATCCTTCACGTGGGGTAGCATCTCCAACCCAGGGTGTGAGTGGGGGTGTGTGGGGGAGGGAGGAGGTGACCTTAAGCACGGTTGAGGAGGAAGATCTCTGGTCTTGATTGAAAAGGGGGGCAAGGTGAAGGAATTGGGAGAGAGTTCCAAAGCTTTGAGGCACAGTGGAAGGGGTGATAGACAGTCACTCAACCATCTTTGTCAATATTTCCCACTTTCCCGAGCCCCCTTGCTGTCCTTTCAGGCCTGTGACCTGGGACATCCTCCCGATGTGAAAGGTGCTCTATAAATGTGATTTTGTTGTTGTAGTTGCTGATGTTATGGGGTTCATATGGAGAACATTCATACATACTGAGCCAGCTGCTAAGCTCTCCAATGCTTCCTTTCACAATCTCAAGCCAACCACAGGAACAAGCCCTTTCTTTATTCAGAGACAGGAAGGAATGAAAAAGCAATTTAATTTTTTTTTAATACCGCAAAGTAAAGAGCATTTTGTTGTGCAATCCATATCCATGTGGGAAATGGATTGATACAGATTTTATTACTTACGACTGAGGATGACTTGCAGAGGTCACTCGTGATGTCTTTCGTGAATTGTCTTCACTTGTACACGGAAATCTTTCAGCAAACTTTTTTTCTATTAAACTGGGGCTAAGTGAACTGCATTTTGCTTTTGCCACATGTATAAGGTAGTTACAGGTATAGGTAGTTAGTTACATGATCTTACAATCAGAGCTAGGCCATTTAGGAGTGAAATCAGGAGGCAATTTTTCACCGAAAGGGTAGATCTGGAACTCTCTCCCCCAAAAGGCTGTGGATGCTGGATACATTCAAAACCTGAAGTCTGAGATGTTTGTTAGGTCAGGGTATCAAGGGATATGGGGCAAAGGCGGGTAATTGGAGTTGAGGTACAGATCAGCCATGATCTTATAGAATGGCAGAACAGGCTTGAGGGGCTGAAAGCCTCCTCCTGTTCCTATGTTCCTATAGAAACCATCTAATTGGGTCCCGACAAGGCCCTTTTGGCATCCGACATGCTGTTTTGACACCATTCAGAAAGTTATTCAACAGATGTTCCACTGAAGAGGAATAACAAAATGCGATTCAGGGGATCGTATTACCCACACCTGTTCTTATCGAGCCATATTGGGCCGAGCAAGTGCTGTACCGGACCACAGTAAGCCCTGAAAAGTTGGGCCTTGGTTAATCCTATCCGTCAAGTGGTCTTGTCCTCATCTTTCTATTCAAGTCACAACACTTTTGAGAGCAGGGAATTGAGAACAAGGTTGGTTGGCCTGTAGTCAAGTGCTGAGTTAAGAACGCTACCTGTTTGAAGCGGATAATAATACGGGGGAAAGGTCAGAAACAATGTCTTCACGTAAGCAAGAGGCGTCCAACCTTTTGGCTGCTGAGGGTCGGACGCCTTATTTGAGTCATGTCCAAGTGCCACATAAGCAATATTTTTGCGTTTCCTTCCCAGAAACGTAACCCAACAACACTTACGAGTTATGGAAAGAGCAGGTCGGACAGATAAAATGGAGAAGGGGGGGAAGGGGCTGATGAAATGAGGGGTGGGGAAGAAGGAGGGCGGTTCCCGATGTGGCCCCTGGGTCCAGTTGGGCTGACGTAGAGGGTTACACTTTGCCTCAAGTGGCGCTTTACGCTGAGACCATAGCAAAGGAGAATTGTACCGGTATTTGGAGAGGAACAAGGTAACATTGAAGCTAACTGTCATATCATTTAATAGAGAATTGGGTAAATAGCTGAAGACATCCAGCGTACAAAGCACAGGGAAAGAGCAGGGAATTGATAATAGGGAGAAACTATTTCCACTGGTGATGAGTCGGTAACCAGAGGGCATGAAATTAAGATCAGTTCCAATCAGAGGGTAATTGAGGAGGATTGTTATTCAGGTTATTAGGACAATAATTGGACCATTGGTGGAATTTACCACCAAAAGAACTGGTTACAGCAGAATCCAAACGGCTTTGTCAATATTGGAGTCCTGTAGCATATTGGTTAGAGCACTCGCCTCGCAAGCGAGAGGACCCGGGTTCGATTCCCTCCCGGGCAGGGAAAAATTTTAGGCAAGTTTCCTGACTCCACATGCCCCTGTTTACCTAGCAGTAAGCAGGGACCCGGTTGCTAGTCGATTGGCGGATCGCTTTTGTGGTGGGGTAATAATCCTTTCCCACAAAAATAAAAAGAATAATTTGGTCATTTAATCCACGAGTGACTGTTTGTGGGACGCTGCTGTGCGCAGTTGGCGGCTGAGTCAATTCACTTTACAGTATATGCTCTGAAGCGCTTTGAGACGTCTCAAGGCAGTGATGAGTCGCGATATCAAATGCAAGTATTATTATTAGAAAAGGGAATTGGACAAATAATTTGGAAAATATTGAAATAAAAGATGATGTGGGAATAATATGAAAGCATCAAGGGCAGGGGAGTGGGACAAGATGTGTTCTAGCTCTTTCAAGGCAGATACGAGGAGCTGAATGGCCTCTTTCTGCGCTGTAAAATTCTGCGGTTCAGTCAGGAGTTTTACACGACCGATATTGAAAAGTGTCGACTCCAAATGTGTTGCAGATCATTAGAACTTTACTACCAATGCTCGAAACTGCTAACTTTAGGCACAAGGTGAGCGAGTTCCTTACGTTTTATCACCGTGCTTTTGGCAGAGTGCAGCAACCTTGCGCCCCCCCCCCCAGCCCAGCCCCGACGCCCCCACACACGGTGTCACGTGCTCCGCGAATGCTATAAAGGATGTTTCTTTATGATTAATCCAGAGAAGCACGACTTTGCATGAATTGAAAATAAAATTGATGAATAGCTCCTGAATTATTTGTAGCCGTAATTTATTACGCAAGATATTATTTTCTGGCATGTGATTATTTACTGGCCGTCTCGTTCAGCCTGACTAGTTGATACAAGTTTTCACCTAGAGTGCAAGAAAAAAAATCCTTAATTAAATTCAACCCTCCCCCGCCCCCCCCCCCAAAAAAAAACCTGCTGTTTTCAAGATTTTTGCATTTATATAAACCATTTTAGTAGCTTTTATAAAATCCTATAGGTTAAACATGTTCTAACACATGATTTTCCTCTTCATTTCAGCCAATTGTGCACAGCAGTGTCCCACAAATAGTCATGGATTAAGTGGCCAAATTATTATTATTATTTGTTTTCAAAGGGATTATTACCCCCAGAAAAGCGATCCGCCAATCAACTAACAACCGGGTTCCTACTTACTGCTCGGCAAACAGAGCGTGGAGTAAGGTCGAAGATTTTTTTCTGTACAGTGTACAGATTATTATTTCAGCGCCTTGGGACGTCCTCCTGACGTGAAAGGCGCTTTATAAATGGAATCTTGTTGTTGTTGTTGTTGTTGTTATAATGAGTTGCAACCACCCGTTTGATTTTGTGGGTGCAAGCAAGGAATTTGCTTTAAATTTGCCAAAATATGTCAAACTCTTAATACTGAACAAAGGAGAACAAATAACAGCGTGGCAAATAGGTGCCTTCTCCCCCTTTCCCTCTCTCCCCCTCCCCTACCTTGTGCGCTTGAGATATCAGCCGGGGCTTTTTCACGGAGGCCTTGAATGAGGTGAGCTGTTTCCCTGGGGGAGCAGAATATCTCTCACGTTAGCAAATATTGCATACATAGTGGAGCCTTGATTATCCACCAATAGCTGTGACCTGCCTCCTCATTCCTTTTCACATTTAATTACAATGATGCACGCCTTCATGTTAATAATTCATTTTCGGGATCATTTTGAAGAAATGTATTCTTTACTTACGTAAAGCAAGGGGAAAGGTTTTCTTGGGGAGCGCAATATTTTTGAACAGTTTTAAAACAACGTAGAAATGAGTTGCCCAGAGCAGATTTCTGTCATCACCTGTGTTATTTTAATCGTGTTTGGTAAGCTAAGTGTTGACTTACAGAATAAAACCTGAACCCGAAAGATGCAGTGGGTGTTTGGTTCGACAAAACAAACTGCAGGAAACTGAATGCACATTTTATAATAATAATCCTTGTAATTGATATCGCTCCTTATCACGTCTTCAAGACGTCTCAAAGCGCTTCAAAGAATATACTGTAAAGTCAATTGACTGTGTATTTTGTGGGCAAAACGCGGCAGCCAATTGCGCACAGCAGCGTCCCACTAACAGTCATGGATTGAGTGGCCAAATTATAATTTTTTTCTTTTTTGAAGGGATTGTTATTCCCGGAAAAGCGATCCGCCAATCGACTAACAACCGGGTTCCTATTTATGCTCGGTTAACAGAGGCGTGTGGAGTCAGGAAACTTGCCCAACATTTCACCCTGCCCGGGAATTGAACCCGATTCCTCTCATTTGCGAGGCGAGTGCTCTCACCAATAACGCTACAAGACTCCAGTTATGTACAGATTGTAATAGATTCTAAATCCAAGGCCAGTAAGATTGAGTTCAGGAGAGACAACTGAGGAAAATTTAGTTTTGTTTCAGCTTTGCTTTTTATGTTTGTGTGTATGTGTATTACGAGCCGAGTTTTTAAAGTCTGAATGTCTCTGTGCACGATTTTTTGATTATGAATATTTATGATTTTTTTTCTTATAAGCTGCAGATTCTAATCAAAGTAGAGTATCTTATGATAATCATAAAAGATAATTAAAGTAATAGCCCGCTGTTGGCATACGCTTGCTTTGCCGTGTTAACCCCTGGAGAACTTTTTCGCTGAAATAAAACAAATAAGAATAGGGTTAAAATCCTCCAGTGGATCACCGGATGTTGCAAATGGAAAAATACTTCAGTTCGGCTCTTTTCTCCAATTTAGCTTTATCTTAGTAATTACAAACATATAGAAAATAATTCTGGCAATTGTTATACTGGTGGAAGTCTCTTAATGAAACGCCCCCCTACAGTGAGCCAAACACTTCATCTAGTTATTATTAAAGAAACCCTATGAAAAGTTATATGCATCGGTTTTGATTGGCAGTAATATGTCCCGTAAGTGTCCAAAAACTATGTTTGTTAATTTGTCTGTAGTAGGTACGATTGCATGAGGTGATAAAAGGGTGTAAATCTGACTCATTCAGGCCTTGAAGACTTTATTGTATAGAGACACCCAGAAGGTTATGGAAAATCTACCCCGATCAAATCATGGTAGTTGTGCTTCAGATGTTTATGAGAAACACAATCAGCGGGCATCTCAAAGGGTTTCGTAACACTTGAACGAGATGTAAATGCAACTCGATTGTCTAGTTTTCGTTTAAGTGAACATCTTTAAAATTAATCAGCACTGTTAAACACTGCAACCTTAGGCCAAACCTTACAAAGCAGCAGTTTTTCACTAAATCCTGGAGATTTCCACATGAATAAGTTGCGGTTTGTATGTAAATGGAATTTATTCTTTTACTAACGGCACAGTCAATAACTGATGTGCACTATACAATCAAAACTAATGAATTATGCTCAGTTCTGTTATACACAATTGGAAAGCCACAAGTTCTCCCAGTTGCAAAAGGTCCATTTTCGGTAATTAGTAAAAAAAACATTTTAAGATGTATTTTTATATTAAAACAAAAATCCACATTCAATTCAAATTGGAATATTCTTTGGTAATTGTTTTGGTAATTGATAAATTTGGCCAAATTGATAAATGTAACATCAAAAGCTGAGGATGTGTGTTTTGTTGGTAAGTGTCATAACGGCATTATCAATGGAACTTCTAGAGTTGAGCAGTCACAAATAATAACAATAATACTTGCATTTGATATAGCGCCTTATCACGTCTTCGAGACGGCTCAAAGCGCTTTTACAGAACTTACCGTAAACTCTTTGTTTGAAAAAATATTCTCTGACTTCAAAATGTGCGTAGAGCTGATGTTATCATTTGGGAACAATTTGTGTTAAAGGCGCAAAGGAAAGTCTTGTGGTGAGTCTTGAATGTGGTGACATTTCTCTTTGAGCTGCAGCAGTATTGTATGTTTTGGAGTGGGTGGGAGTTTAACCCAGTTACCCAGTTTTTTTTTGTTTAGGTTTAGATTGAATTGCTAAATGAGATCTAATAACTGTATCTGTAGTTCATGGAAATCTTCAGCTGTATTTAACCTTGTGCTTTTGTCCAAGCAATATTGCCTGAAGTTGCAGATCCTCCTCTGCTAGTTTCTGTTATTTCTATAACTGGTGTAATATAAGCGTCTGTGCTGCTTCACTTTAGTACATCGGGAGTCTATTATGTGCCACATGTAAACCATGTTTTAACGTCTGGATTATGCTCCTTGTGTAAACGCATGTGTTACAGGAAAGAAATGCAGGTGGCTCTGAATCGTGCAATTAACAATCAAATGAAAGGATTGGCTAATTACACAATTAATAAATACTTTATTGTTAACGACATAATGAGGGCATCCGCGGAATAAACCGGCACTCAGAGGCAGGCAACGGTGGCAGAGACCAGCAGGATTCGGAACTCCCTGCACCATCCCATCCTGCACTAACAGGTCTGGGCCAATGGGGGAGATAAATGCAGCAGAGAGTAAGAATAAGATGAAGCTGCTGGACTATTGTGTGTTCAAATCCCTTCACTCTCTTGACACCTCCCTAGCTCTCCGACCTCCTCACTCCCCAATCCATCGCCCTGGCACCTCCGCTCGACTGGCACTGGCCTCCGCTCGTCCCTCGCACCCTCCGCCTCACCGTTGGTTGTCGTGCTTTCACCTGCTATGCCCCGAAACTCTGGAACACTCTCCCTCAAAGGCAGAGGCAGGAGATAAACCTCCCAACAGAGTACTTCATCCTCTGTCTCTTTCCAACTCCCTTAATTGGGATCAGAGCACTATAATCCACTCCCACTCACCCAAGCATCTACTGTGTGCAGCCCTTTTGCAGTAAAATAGTCCCATTGCAATACAAAATTACATTTGTTACAGCGCCTTTCACGTCGGGAAGACGTCCGAAGGCGCTGGACAGTCGGGCATATAAGAGAAACATAGAGAAATATGTGAAAAGGAGAAATATAGAATAGTACCGGCTGAAGGTAGGAGAAAGAGACTAAATGGATAGCTCTGTCAGAGCACAGGTACGATGGGCCAAATGGCCTCTTTCTCTGCTGTAAGTTTTCTATGGTTCGGTTTCTTCTGTGGGGAAGGAATGCATTGAAAAAAATATATTCCATGTGTTTCATTCGTGTTTTTACTTAGCGTAATAACAATTTTTTTCCCGCAATTTTGAATGGATGATTTATTGGACCGTTCCCTCCTTTCCAAACGAGCGGGGGAAATGAATTCATTAAATTAAAATTAATCTTTTAATTTTCACTGGACGAGTGGCAAGTTGACATAAGCGCATCGCGACTTTGAGACGGGCTGATAATCTGGTTTGAATCCAAATTATCTGCAGATCTGAATTAAAATACATCGTGCCAAGGGATATCGGGCCTCCAAATTGAAATTCAATCAAAATTAAAGCGGCCCCTTCTCTCCTTGCGCTTGTCTCCGAAGTTGTATTTAACTTCTTCCCGAAGTCCTGCATGGGAACAGTTTTGTGCATCAAATAGAAGTTATAGTAAAAAAAAATTCTGCCATTTCTTTTATATCAACTGATCATTTTTGCCCCTTTGTGCTGCTGCTTTGTAGGTTCTCCGAATTCCAGGTGGCGGGAATATGGCGCCTTAGCGATTTTCATGACCGGGATTGCGTTCGGCTTTCACCATCTATACAAGGTACAGTAGGAATTTGCTGTACACATTTGTCAGAAGGTATTAAGTGTCCTTCCTATCATTTTGTTATCCCATCTATCTAAGAGTCTTGGTTCACCCAGAGACGGCTAGTGTTAAAGGTTGCCTTTTGTTTGTACGTCGAACAATATCACTGTTGGTAGCACTTTTGGCTCCGGGTCAGAAGGTTGTGGTTTCAAGCCCCGCATCAGGACTTGAGCTCACAGTCCAGGCCGGCTCTCCAGTGCTGAATTGTTGGAGATTCTTTCCATTGAGTGAAATATTTCCTTTGGGACGAAACGTTAGGCAAGTTCCCTTATTCCACGTCCCTCTGTTTACCTAGCTTTAAGTTGGAACCCGGTTGTTAGTCGGTTGGCACTTCACTTTTCCGGAGGTAATAATCCCTTAAAAAAAAAGTGTTCACTCAATCCACGGCTCTTTGTGGAGACGCTGCTGTGCGCAATTGGCTGCCTCGTTTCGCCCACAAAATACACAGTCAATTCACTTTGCTGTATATCCTGTGAAGCATTTTGAGACGTCTCGAAGACGTGATAAGGCGCTGTATCAAATGCAAGGATTATTATTTGATTTATTATATTAAATTGATGCCCAAATCTGCTTGTTTTTCCGTGCAAGTTAAATACTATTCAGGACTATTTAGGGAGCCATCACCTTTTCTATAAGGATGATGGGTGTGGAATTGAAATGCTGAAGGAATGCAGTAGTGGGCACTCCTACGCTAACTTTAGGAATCCAGCAACAATAGATTGGCATGGTGCCTTGACTTTTTCTCAAACGCTCAAGACTTTTTATATAATTTAATTATAATCAGTCTGATCGTATTGTGCTAAGCAGTATTCTGAATATAAAGCATTAAAACCCTTTGTCAACTGGAGTGCTTGAGCAAACCCTGCAGAATGACCTTTTCCTGGGAGTTTCTGAGTTCTAGGACGCACTCGTTTTTGTAAATGTTTCTCTTCTTTTACCCATATCTTGCATCGTCCTCAGCTCCCGTTAACCCTGCAAACCAAAGCCCTAACGGTTAGGGTGGTCCCAGCTGGACAGCAGGAAAGCTTGCCAGACAGCGCTATCAATGGCAAACTATGCGGGTGGAGCTAGTTAGCCTCTAGCAGGTGCAACTGTGACCAAGAACGTTGGTGGAGACCAAAAACAACAACAAATGATATTGTAATGCGCCTTTCACGTCAGGAGGACGTCCCAAACCGCTTGACAGTCAAGGATCCACACCCAATCCTTTTTTATGAAGTTGTTGTGATGGATGGAGTTGGTATTCTGGAAGGATGAGAACAAATCAAATAGCTCTTTATCCGAAACCCTCTCAATGTTCAGCGCTTCCAGCCACTTCTTATTCAATGCCCCGGGTCACTAACCTGAGTGAAAGGCGCTATACAAATGCAAATTGTTATTGTTAATATCGAGTCACCTTCATGTCCTCAGCCTAACAATCTCTATACAGCCTTTCAAACAAAAAAGCTGAAACAATTCAAACCGGGAACAACCAGACCAGGAATACAATGCAGTTAAATTAAATCATTAATTTCCATTTATTAAAGTTGCAACCACTTCATTACTGTAAACCATTCTTGTGAGGACATTTTAACAAAAGCGACAAAGCAAAGTTGCTGTTCATGTTTTCTCAGAAGTCATTTATCCCACACAAACACACACCGGAGTATCATTTAAATGACCTTGAAATGTACGTAAGAAAGATTTTTTTTTAATGTTCTAACTTGCGTTCAGTCGGAGCTGGTTATGTAGCCTCTTATTGTGCCAACTTGTGTTCACGTTTTCTCCCTTGATGTAATGCTTCCTACTGCTGATTATTTTCCCAATCGCTTTATTATAGTTCCTTGGAGCCATTTAGTACTTGGATTCTTATTTTGGGTGCAGTCAAAAGACACAATATTGTACACATCCTTGTCTTGTGACAGCATGCCCTTCAGAACTGCATTAGATATAATTGGAAACTAAGGAATTCAGCAAGACTGTTTAAAGCTGATTAAGTGTCAAAACAATTATTTTAACAGGTTCAACAACCTGTTACAGTGGCCCATGCCTATCCTTTACGATGCCCACTGTATTGAATGGCAGATTTGATCTTCAGGGTCTAACTTTGTTTTGCAGGATGGGTTCAGATAGTAAAAGATCATTAGAAAACAATATACTAGATAGCATGCGCATTCTTGCATTCGGTCTGTGCAGATTAGAGGTTATTTTATGCTTTTGCTTCTCCTTATCAAACCAATGTCAAAAACAATTGACAGATGCTGGGTTAGGCCCTAGTTGCTAAGTTCAATATGCAGAAGAACCTAATTGCAGTAGTTTTCAATAAAGAAACTCAGGGAAAGAATTGACGAAAGATGAGATCATGTTTACTGTTCCTGAATATACACAAGAACACGAGAGGTGAATTATTCACCTTGGAGCAGATACCTTTACAACGTACTGCAGCAGGAGAACTGATGGCTCATTGTCAAGTGGATTAAATCTTAAATGAAGGAGGAGAATTCTGGATTAACTTGATCCTTTGTGTGACCGTTGTGTGGTTTTGCAACTACCCCAATGGCTCACATGCACACATACAGTGAAATCAGAGCGGAACAGTCTATAAAGACTTTGGTCTAAGGACTTTGTTTATCTGCTTGTGCTTTGAAGCTGTACAATTACATTCAAAGCAACTGCTTTTTTGGTCCATCTGATCTTTCATTAAATTTGGATTGAAATTTGCTTAGGCTACTGGAGTTTGGGCTATGAGAACAATCAACAGACAGGTGCACAACTGGAGTTCGACTGTGATGTCTTCCGACCCCAGTTAGGCATTGGGTAGGTTTCATAGATGAAGGATGTTTACTTGGTTAATTGAGGGTTGATTGGCTCTGTGTTACTGTAGTCCAGCTGGAGAGAATGAGTGAAGAATTTTTTTTTTTTTTTTTAAAATCTGCCGTTTTGATCTGTTGAAAGCCCCAGCGTAATCTCTGCTCGTGATGTCCTGACAATTAAGGAACTTTTATTGAAACGGAAGTCAACTCTGAACAGGAAGCTCTCTCTGTTTCACCCACAAATACACAATCCACCCACTTTACAGTATATCCTGTGCTTTGAGACGTCTCAACGACGTGACGAGGCCTATTATATCAAATGCAGGGATTACTATTTTATTAGTATCTGACCACATGGAGTTTCGAACACCTGTGCCATCCATACAGGAAGTGACTTGAAATGTGCTGTCGGCTTGAAATTATTTGAAAAGTAAAAATTTCTATTGGCAGTAAAACCAAATTCTTCTGGTAAAATGAAACATGGTGATAAATTGCTTCTGAACAATCTGTGAGTAACCGATCACAGACATTGGACATCCTGCAGTGGGATGTTCCCCCCTCCTCCCACCACACACACAGCAGTTTTCCATTTTTCCCTTGTAAATCTAAGCAGCAGTTAACACCTCCTATCTTTGATGGCTACACTTTATTTTAATATTTATCATAAAGAAAAGAAGTTGCAAAGGAAACCAATTAAGAGGGCACATTACAATGGGGGGAAAGAGCAAATCACTTTACAATAGCCTTTCAACATATGTGCATCAAGGGTGCTCGACCAGCAACTAAAGGTAATCTTACTTTTAACACATTTATTCTTTAATGAAGCCAGATGCGTCTGCTAGGAACTGAATTGAGCCTCATTCTCGTTCCACATAAGATCTTGCAGTCACCAGAATTGGCATCAGTACTGTACTGGGTTGGCAGCAGGATGGTTGATTTCATTTCATCAATTCTGGATGACATTCAAACTTAGTTCACCACATTTAAATAGTAATAATAATTCTTGCATTTGATACAGTGCCTTATCACACCATTGAGATGTCTCAAAGCGTTTCACAGAATATATTGTAAAGTGGATTGACTGTGTATTTTGTGAGCAAAACGCGGCAGCCAATTGCACAGAGCAGCGTCCCCAGTCGTGGATTGAGTGACCACATTTTCTTTGGAGCTATTATTACCCCCAGAAAGCAATCTGCCAATCGACTAACAACTGGGTTCCTACTTAAAGCAAGAAAAACAGAGGCATGTGGAATAAGGAAACTTGTCTAAGGATTCGCCCCTCTCTACTATGCGAACGCCAGGAAGGTGGAAGACTAGATGGACCTTGGTCTTTTATCGTCTAGCATCTCTTATGTTCTTATGTAATTGAACGCAGGTCCATTCACTCGTAAGGCGAGCACGCTAACCACTACACTACAGGACTCCACAAAGACAACGTGTGTGTGTTCACTGTTCCACCACCTGGAACTTTACATGCCTTTTTGGAAGGTAAAAATGAGTAAGTGGTTTGTGTGTCGGCTGTGCACTGATTATAACTGTTCTTGTATAGCCAGCCTTTTCCCAGACAATCTTAAAGTCAGTTGTGATTTTCACACTGTGAAATTGCCACTGTGTAATTGTAATAAAGTGGCATCGCAGTCAAACAAACATTATTGCTATATAAAGAAATCAAAGGGTTCTTTACATATTTTGTCAGCTTGAAGGAGAATGAAAATCCTACTCTTATTCTCATTGCATTATTCAGCGAAAGCCAGTGCCTACATAACACTGATAGACAGGCCAAAAGAACTATCCCACAGATGCACTAATACCGGTGCCAGGGAGGAAACTTCAGATTTTTTTTTAATCCTCTAAAGCTTTGCTTACGTGGTTTGACACCAGTCAAGCCTGGAAGAGATGACCTGGATCCTTCCTACATATGAAAATCTTCAATGGGCCACAACAGACAACTAGACACCTCACTTATCAAAGTTTGAACAACATTAATGCATCCAAACTTTTATTTTCCAACATAAAACAACTATAGCCATGGCTTGGATTGCAAAGAGTGGAGTATAACCTTCTAAGCTTCGTACTACGCCATTTCAAATTCTTATGTTGACAAGTTGTGTCTAGTCTGAAAAGAAATTAGAAAACACTATAATTAACATGGTTAGAGACTGCACTTTTTACTTGACTAGTAAGTCAATAACTAGTTGGGCCGAATGGGCTGTTCCGTTAGGTAACATCCTGTGTCATTTTACACAGATTATAAATTGAGTTCATTTTTAGGCAGTTATTTGAAGTTTGGATGTGGTTTTCATTGGTGCAGTAATGTATTCCCAGGTATGTTTACTGTGTTTTTTTAATTAGAAAGAAATAGTCCATTACTAGTGGACAATTATTTTGTTTTTTAAAAAAACTTGTGCCTGTTTTGTGAGGGACTTATACAATCCGGATTTTGCTGGTGTGGGAGCAACATACAATGGCTAGGGCAGGTTTTCTGAGAGATCGCTTCAATCGAGGAGACAGCTGAATCCAGTCCTTTTTAACTTACTTAGCTGGGACATTAAAGAAACAAAGAAAAATAATTTGGTCACTCACTCCACGACTGTTTGTGGGAAGGACACTGCTGTGCGCAATTGGCTGCTGCGTTTCGCCCACAAAATAGACAGCCAATATGTGTGCCCTGCGAAAGCCATGTATCCAATAGTCGCTGCACTGCAAGATACGAGCTTTGTTATAACATTTAAGGTTCCTCACGCTCTCAATGAAACAGCCAAAAATATAAGAGGGGTTTTACTAATGGCCGCTAAATAAATTACTCTGTTTCTGGTTCACAAAGCCAAGTGTCGCAAGTTAACTGCTTCGCTCTGAAGTCAAACGGGGCGAAATAAAGCCAGGTTACAGTAATTTGAAATGGTTCAACAGCTTCTTATTCACTGTGGCTTTGAGTTTGGGCAAAGCTAAGGGACAAGTGATTAACATGGAGGTGTTGAGTTCCAGTTTCCTGATTTCCTTTCAGGTGTGAGAAAACTAGTGAGTCACGGGGCATAATTTCCAAGTGCGGTGTCTACCGAAATCATCCTTGAGTTTCGATATTCTCTTCGTGAACTCGAATTGCCTTGATTGTGTCCTTGAAATGGCACGCCAATCTATCCGTTCGATAGACAGCACTTTCCTTTCCTGTGCTGTTATCTTGCCTCCTGTACGTGAATTGAGGCAGATTCAATTTCAGACAGGTTCAGTCGTAAACAAAACTGAACTTCGAATGTACCTTCAAATCAGAAACAGCATAGTGTCCTATTAGTCACTTCTCAGTAAGCACAGCGGGCAATGAAAAAATTGAGCAACCACTTAATACTGTTAGTAGCTGTATTCCTATTGATTGCTAAAAATTGGATAGTAAAGTAATGTATTGTTTACTGACATCTATTGTTCTCTTGTTAACCAAACTGATTGTTTTCGATTCCCGTTATGATCATTTTTGTCCCAACGACACAGATTTCATTGTTTCAAATTCTGTAGTTTAAGATCTTCAAATGCATTGGGTAGTTTTATTGTATCTTGGTTTGTAGGGAACCACTCTTCGCCTACAAGGATGCAATTAAGCTGGTCCCAAGCCAGTTCCCATGTAGCGATGAGTGCCGGCTTTAGAAGATTGCTGATGCACCAAAAGTGCAGGCAAGACTGGAATGGACCTCTTCAGTATGGAGCACAGTAACTGCAAACCCACACCCTAGCTCCATGTGCTTCAATGTACTGTGTTAACATGGCACACTTGACTATCAAACTACAGTGGAAGCTCAATAGTAAGGCTAGCAAACGGACTGAGGAGATTTTGAGCACATTCGTGGGTCAATCTCACAAGCGAGTGTACGTTACTGTACTGTACTATGTGATATAATGTTGAAATGAGAAAGACTAGAAAAAAAAACTGCCCACATTAGCAAGTTGCCCACATTAGTGGGGGGTGACCTGAAGGTGAGTTTCTCATCTGAAGGTGAGAATTGGCAATTAGAGTTAAGTGGTACAGTGCAGTTTTAATTTCCAAATACTTCAGAGCGGCAGACAAACGAAACTACTATTGCCCCGCTCAACGTTGCTACTAATAGCATTGGGATAAGAAATTAATCCTATTTCCCTTCTCAAAAACATTTCTGAAGTCAGTGGCTATTGGAATCTCCTAACGCATGCTGTGTTGATGGATATTCAGCATGTTCACAATGTCAACACAGCTTTTCTTCCTTTCTTGGCATCTTGTATCCCCACCTTACACACACAAAAAAAGAAAACCCAATAGATTTGGTACCATGGGTCAAACATGACTATCAGCAAGAGTTACTGTTAATCTATAGAGTATAAACAGAAAATGTGTTAATTCTTTATCTCCATTCTCCTACGGGCTGGTTCCTTGCAGTTGGCTTATTAATTAGGTTGAGCTAATGGTTACTTAACCTGAGTTCAGGATGTTTTATTACAGCTTACAGCGTAACCTGCTTTACACCGCATAATAACTGCAAATTTTCCAAAGTGAACTTGCCCGCAGAAAGAAAATGTAAGAATGAAATGAGAAAATTAAAGTGCCCCAAAGAGTTCTTTGCAGAATTAGAGATGCGTCTGGCATTGGTTGGTTTTCAAACCGTTCCAAAATAGTCTATGTGACCTGCAAGCTATATACGAGCACCACCAGCAACAACAACAACCAACTTGTGTTGCCCTTCATACGGGGTAGATTTCGGAGCGCTTAACAGTGGCGGAGCCTGACGCTGAGCCGGATGGGGTTGGGAAGAAGGAGGTGCCCCTACTCACGGACCATAAGCAAAAATATACACATTTTTGGTGCGTTGAAATGATATTGCTAATCGATAGATTTTTCATTTGCTACTTAGTTCTATCATGAAACATCGCAGCTCAGTTGTGGGTACAATACAAAGGAGAGCACTAAGCAAAGTTGCGGGGGAGAAAGGATATGGAGCAATGACAGAGTTGGATTTGAGGTACAGGTCAGCCCTAATCTACTGGAATGGTGGAACAGGCTCGAGGGGCTGAATGGCCTCCTCCTGTTCCTATGAAAGGGCTGTTCAGACATCAGAGCTCATCCCTCTCTCTACCTCATTAAATCTTAACATGGCATCTCTAACCCTGATGTTATGTTGGTTGATCATTATTCCAAGCACTTCTCACTCTGAGGAAAAGATTTTTGGGGGCTGTTTGTTCTAAATTTAGATCAAATCTCCATTTATATCTTCCCACCGTCCTATGGTGTGAAAGATTGTACAGTCGCGATCCTTTCTTAAGAAAACCCTTGCTTATTGCAGCATCTTTGTTTCCCACACCTTCAGTCCTTTTTAAAAAAAACAAGATCGTTGCTGTTGGTCAAACCTTAACGTAAGTTCTGCTCTACACTTCCATTAATAACCATTGGAATATTTTTATTTTTACAGAAATATATTCTGCCTGTTCTACTGGGCAGCAAAGAAGACAAGAAGCATCTGCAGAGGATTGAGGCAGGCATTACGGAGCTAAGTGGGACCATGACACAGACAGGTGAAGATTAATGCTTTCATAAATTTACCTTTAAATTTCCTCCGCTTTTAATTCTGCGAGGGAAGTTCATTTATCTGCTATGTAAATCTCTCTAAATTAAAAGATGAAGCTTCTGTCATTTCTGCTTCCTATGAAATTGCTTGTTTGCTGTCTGTGAGGTTTCAATTATGTTGTAGTGAAAAGCTTTTGACCCAGCATATTAACTAGATGAGGCAACCTGACTGGTTTGGTGGTTCTCTGCTATAGATTGTACATGCTCCAAACTGACATTGTTGCAATGACCAAATACCTCAGGATAAATTGTGTAGTTCCCCCTTTTTTTTACTCTCTCCTGGGAAAGTGACATTTTTCAATCGGAACTCTCTCCAAACACTGAAGATTCATCTTTGAGGGAGCTCCTGGAATAGCCCATGGTATTAATACGTGAAAAGGCTGTAGAGAGAGAGAGTGAGCGAGCCTGGTCAGGCAATCAAACAAGTCCATTGATTCGGTTACAAAATGACTGCAGTTTCTAGAACAGTTTGGGTTATGATATTAATCCTTGCGTTTGATACAGCTCCTCATCGCGTCGTTGAGACGTCGCAAAGCGCTTCACAGGATATACTGTAAAGTGAATTAACTATTTTTGGTGGGCAAAATTATGAGATTACAGTGTCCAATTAGGCTTTTAATCACTCCCCTCCCCCCCCCCCACGCACACACACGCACAACAGCCCCCCCCCCTCCTCAGGACTCCTCAAACCCAGCTTGGGCTCCCACTTGGCACTGTGAAACGTCCTCCCAACGTGAAAGGCACTGTGCTATTTAAACCACATAGCGCCTCCTTCAAGGCATGTCTCTCGTCTGACTGTGACTTCGGCCACCCTCCCTGCCCTCCACCCTCCCTGTATTTGCTGCCTCCATTGCAACCCTTCCTCATAGCGTGTTAAAACATATTTATTTACAAAGGGGGAAAGGGAGGGAGTGGGGGTTCACATCTGGCTAATTCCTAGGAATTCCTATATTTATAATAATAATAATCCTTGCATTTGATATAGCGCCTTATCAGATCTTCGTGACGTCTCAAAATGCTTCACAGCATAATTAAACCCTCCTGATAATCCCCATTACTGAAATTGCTCTTTCAGATACCTGATGCAATGCATCACAGGCAAGTAAGGGAAATGTTGTTCCTTTAGCTTAATTTCTCGCATATTTTATGCAGTTTCTCAGTGGATTTGATGAGCAATCAGTCAAGTGTGTGGACATGAACTCAAAACGTTTGGTTGCCGTAAACCACAGAAGATTCAAAAGCAGTCTACAGAAGCATTTTGTACTGTCGCACTCAAACCGAAAAGCTTAACTGTAGGGTTCTTATTAATTTACATCTCCGCACCAGTTGTAAAGTTGTAAAATAAGCGGAGAAATCATGTGCGTATAAATAAAGAAATGGAATACCCTGAAGGCCTTTTATGAAGACTTTGTTGATACTTCCGTTTATTCAAAGACCCTGAAGGGCTTGGAACAGAAATGTTTGTGAAACATCATTGCGTCGCTTGCCATTAAAGTGAATGCATTTACTTACTTACTCCGCACGCCTCTGTTTACCCAGCAGTAAGTAGGAACACGGTTGCTAGTCGATTGGCGGAACGCTTTTCCAGGGGTAATAATCCCTTCAAAAAAAGGAAAACTTAAAAAAAAATTAGTCACTCAATCCACGACGTTTGTGTGCAATTGGCTGCCACGTTTCGCCCACAAAATATACAGGCAAAACACTTTACAATATATTCTGTGAAGCGCTTTGAGACGTCACAACGACTTGATAAGGCGCTATATCTGTATCAAATGCAAGTATTATGATTATTAATAATATTATTATTGTCTAGCCTTTCACCCACCCACCACCCAAATCTTCTCAGTATATTCCATGAAGCGCTTTGAGACGTCTCGAAGACGTGATAAGGCGCTATATCGAATGCAAGAATTAATATTACTATTTACGGCGATGCAAGAAGTTCAAGGGCTACAGTACTCAGGAGCTGCTGAGTTGATGACGTGTCTAATGCTTTCCCTATAGAAATCCTGGAAAACTGTCAAAAGGTGGAAAGCTTGGCTGAGCATCAAGTGTTTGCATCTGTGGAAATACTAACAAGGCGTTGAATCAATATGTCACCTTAATTCGTTCTAAAACGACAAACAATCCATCACTGGGTGGATTATCTTCTGTAGTGGTGAAGAGAGCCAAGCCACGACCACCACAACAATAACTTGCATTTATATAGTGCCCCTCATGTGGGGTAGCGACCCAGAGCGGAGTCTGATCCCGAGCCGGGGGGGGGGGGGGGGGAGGTGATCGTAAGCACGATCAAAAAGGAATGGTCCTTAGGTGGGACTTGAAAGTGGGGAGGAAGGGGGCAAGGCGGATGGATTGAGGGAGAGAGTATAAATGCAAGTTGTCGTCGTTGTTTATCAGTTGTAACACAAAGCAGTCGCTAAGCTTTAAGTGTATCCTGTGAAACGCTTTGAGACGTCTCGAAGACGTAATAAGGCGCTGTATCAAATGCAAGGATTATTATTGTATTTATTAAAGTTATTTGTTACTAGTACAACTGCGAGCAGCGATTAAGTACTGAACCTTAGATACGCCCCAACACATTGCAACAGACTGGTCTCTGTAGCAATGTCCTCTTCACTAAGAAAAACACAAACTGACTAACACAGAGACAAATCAATGCCACAGCATTTGAGAACCAGGAGTGAGATGATTCATATGGGGTCCATAATAATCAGCTCCTGAATTTTAGGGCATGTTCTGTTCTCCAAAGTAGATGGGGCCATTGGTATCTGGAGTCCATCCTTGCAGAAGCCCTGCACACAAGGAGAATGAGCATAATAGGCCCTGGTGGAGAAATGTTTAAGCAAGTAGTTATCCCCACCTTGTTTCTCCAGATTCATTACATCTGCTTACCATCCGGACACTTGTCGTCAAATACAACTTGGAAACCTATTGGTGACAATTAGACTTGAGTGGTTTTAATGAGTTCAAATAGAACAATAAGCTGACATTGTCAACAGCGCAGTTTTATTGAAAACGGGCCAAAAGCAGCTGTACATTTGGAGTCAGACCACTTGATCCAAGCCACCGCCCATTACTATACTGTGTCCGTATAAAACTGTGATAAGGCGCTATATATTTCTCCCACAAAATATACAGTCAATTCACTTCACGGTATATTCTGTGAAGCCATTTGAGAGGTCTTGAAGATATGAAAAGCGCTATATCAAATGCAAGGATTATTATTATTATGTCAAATGCAAGGATAATTATTTTTAATCGACATATATAAACTGTTACTAAATGCGGCTTTTCAAAGTGTGCGTATAGATGAACTTACGCTGTCGTTTGTGGACTTTTATGCAGAAGAACCACAAAATGATTGGGGAGTTTTTTGGGGGGGTTTTTCCCGGGTGAAGGCTGTTGTTTGGTTTGGCCGGGGGAATGACACTATTTCCCTGTTTGCATTCCGTTACAGTACCAGAGCAGGGTCAAAATGGCCAACCCTATCACGTGGTAGGTGTCAGCTCTTTGACAGGGCCACTCGGAATATTTTAAAAGATTCACCACAGCAACCGCAGCCTAGTAATTAGAGCATGTCCTTACTCGGGAGTTTTCAGATGAGTGTTTGTGATTTTTTTTTTCTCCTACTTTGTTTTTTTTTATATTTTTAGATATTTGCATTTTGCTTTCATCAATCACTTTAATTACTGAATAACGTTTTAACCTTCAGAACATCCAGTTTCCACCATTACCACATTCGCGAAACGCCAGGATTTTTTTCAAAGCTGAATATCGTGAACCGAAGAGCAATTAGATAATGTGTATTAATGCGTAAATTACTGGGGGAGCGAATGCTCTATTGTCCAAGGTTCCATCCTTTGGCTGAGCCACTGTAAGAATCCTTTGGGTGAATCCTGTTCCTTTGGATGGTTTCAGCCCATTATGTGAAATGCTGGTTTCCAAATCCATCTGCAAACAGCGGTTGTTAATCGATTGGCAGATCGCTTTCCGGGGGTAATTATCCTTTCTTTTTTTTTATTTTCATTTCATTTCGCCCACAAAACACACAGTCAATTCACTTTACAATACATTCTGTGAAGCTCTTTGAGACGTCTCAAGGACATGATCAGACTCTGTATCAATTGCAAGGATCATTATTTACTGTAGGTTCTCTCTCTTACTGCACACAGTTTTCCCTAGGCCACAGGTGATGGAAACACTTTGCACGTTAATTGAACCGGGAATTTAATCTTTCTAGTTATAGTCACAAGTTCCCGTGGCTTGTGGGTCACCAACACTGAACGATTCAAACTTCAGACAACCAGAGAGGAACTTTGTGTTTGAAGCTTAATCTGAATGTTCACCTCACTCACATCTGCCATTCCAGCAGCAATCTCTGGCACATCTGGTATTATTCTGAGAGCCTAGTCTCAACTGCAGACTTAGAAGAGATTATTCTACTTCAACTGTGGAACATTTCCACGTTTTTTTTAGTAAAGGTGAATTTGTCGTGTTTAAAAACCTCCTTTGTTTACAAACAATTGTCCCAATTTCTGTATAAGTTCTTAGACAGTCTGGTTGGTAAACATAACACTGTCGAGCTCCCAAACTCCACCTTAGCCCAGACCAACTCGGTTCTTTTATAATAAAACCAAAAGTCGCTGGGGACGCTCAGCAGGTCAGGCAGCATCTATGGAGAGAGGAAAATGAGTCAATGTTTCAGGTTGATGACCTTTCGTCAGAACCCGAAACTTTAACTCATTTTCCTCTCTCCATAGATGCTGCCTGATCTGCTGCGTGTTCCCAGCAACTTCTGTTCCAAAGTTTCGGGGGGTAGTGGCTGAGAGCACGTCCGCCGATGGTGGAGTGGAGGATTCGTGGGACACGGAGGAGGCTGTACCCAGTAGAGCAGAGGCAGCGAGCACTGCTGTGAGGAGAGAGGAGGTTAGAAAGATGGGGGGGG